CAGACAGCTCTGAGCCTCATCTCCATGACCTCCCCACGCAACCTGCAGCCTCAGCGGGCCGCCCTGGCTCCGTCCTTCGTGGAATTTGACATGTCCGTGGAAGGTTATGGGTATGGCGGCCTTTCATATAAAATACACTTAATTACTTTCCTGGTGCCTCAGATGTAGCACAGCATTGATTACAAAGTTCCATCAGCTCCCACCGCTCAGCAGGGAGCTATGGCTGCTCACGCCGCCCGCCCCCACCCCTCAGCCCCACCCCGTCCGCTCATGCTTCTCAGGGCGGCTCCTCTGGGGTGTCTGCATTCTGGAATGTTCTCTCTTCCAGCCTCCAGTTTGGGTTCTGTTCTTAGGCCATAGGACCCACGTCAACCACTTTCTGTCCCCGGAGTCTCATGGTCCAAGAGCAAGTGAGGCCCCTGCGGAGAGACAGAGGAGTGGTCACAACCAGGGCAGGTCACTAGCTGGGCGCTGTCCTCTTTCCAGGTGTTTGTTTATCCCGACCCTGTCCACGGTGATGGGAGCCAGCACTGAGTACTCGGTCTCCGGAGGGATTGGGACAGGTAGGTGCTGCCCAGGTTTGGCTGGCCGCCCCCTCCCTCTGCCCGAGGAGTGCGTCCCCAGGAGGCCTGGACTTCAGATTTCCTCCGGGCGTGTCCAGAGCCCGAGCCTCCCTCTCGGGTCTGTGCGTGTGAGTCGTCCCTCTGTCCTGCCTCTTAGGGCAGGTGTCCTGCTCACTGTGGGTCCCAGGCCCCGCCTCCCCGCCTCCACGCTGTGCACAGAGAGGCCCAGCCAGCCCTGATATGTGGGTCAGGGGCCTGGCGGCTGAGCCCGGGCTGACGAGGCTGAAATGGACACCTCACCCCTCCTTCACCCCACTTTCCGACTCTCCCTGGAGATAAATGGGAGTTCCCTGTGATGGCCGCTCAGGAACAAGCCTGTCCCGAGCTCATGAAAGGCCTGGCCTGGGCCTGGGCGTGCTGTGCACAGCACTGTCCCTGCTGGGAGCCAGGCCCTCTGGCCAGACAGCCAGGGTTTCTACGGGAACTGGTGCATGTGGGGGCACCCAGTGATTCTGCTCCTTAGTGAGGCCCCACTGGCAGTGCCAACCCCGCCCTGAGGTGGGAGGGCAGGGTCTGCTCAGGAGCAGCCTGTCCCTGCAGGTGCCGCCCTCTGCCCCTCGGAGCACACTGCCCACCCAGGACAGCTGGCTGCACCTAAAGGGGCGGGGGGTCTCAGGGCTTCAGGGCTGTGCCTTCTGCTCCTTTGGGGGCGGGTCTCAGGGCTGTGCCCTCTGCTCCCTTGGGGGTGGGTCTCAGGACTGTGCCCCCCTCCTCTCCCTTGGGGGTTGGTCTCAGGGCTGTGCCCTCTGCTCCCTTGGGGGCGGGTCTCAGGGCTGTGCCCTCTGCTCCCTTGGCAGGGCAGCATGGGATAATGGTGGACAGAATTGGAAAGAGTGTTTGAGGATCTAGGCTCAAGTCCTGGCGGGATTATGACTTATGACTTTCCCTGAAAGGATGAGTAAGCAGACAAGAGCATCCTCTGGGTGGGGTTGATGTAAATGCGCATGAGTCCGAGGCTCAGTGCTGGCACACAGTAGGACCACCACAGCCACACTGGAAGGCTTCCCCAACAGCACAGAGCCTCAGGGCACTTGTATTCTGCCCACAGGTGCTGCCAGGCCCTTCCCTCCGCCCTCCGGCCTGACCTTCTCCTGCTGGTTCCTGGTCAGCAGGCACAGCTCGGCCCTCGAGGGCCACCCGCTGCGCTTCCTGACCCTGGTGCGCCACCTGGCCCGGACCGAGCAGCCCTTCGTCTGCTTCTCCGTCAGCCTCTGCGCGGACGATCTCTCCTTGGTTGTGTCCACAGAAGAGAAAGAGTTTCAGCCTCTGGGTAGGGTGTTGGGACCACAGCTGGTTTCTCCCACACGTGGGGGGAGTGGGGCAAAGTCAGCAGCTCTGGCCCTCGCCCAGCCGTGCTGGCGGCAGGTCCCAGCTCTATCATCACATCCCGACTCACTACGCTCACCTGCCTGTGACGGCCCTAAGGGGCTGAGACGGCCAAGCTCAGTGCATCCTGTGAACCCGGAAAGTGTCACTTTCAAGGGAAAGGTGGGAAGGTCCAGGGGAGGCTTGGCGTCCTTTACACAGCAGGACCCGCCTTTCCCGCTCCCTTTGAGGACGTGGCCAGCACATGTGCGTCACTGTGGAGGCGGCCTGGTGTGGGGAAGACCTGGAGTCTGACTCCTGGGCTGGAACCTTGGCTGTGTGACCTTGGGCAAGTGCCTCAGATGGTAAAACGGGGATCATCATAGTGCCTCCCTCACAGGGTTGTCATGAAAATGACATGAGCTGATATTGGAGCAGTCCTCAGAACAGTGTCTGGCTCAAAGCAAGACCTCAGCAGGGAGCGCTGCTGCTGTCATTATTTTATAAGCAGGGCACGGCCAGCCTCCCTGGCACCAGGCCCCGCCTCCTGGGTTGCTGCAGCCCCAGACACATGGGAGACCTGTGTTCTCTCTCCCAGATGTCATGGAACCCGAGGACAACGCTGAGCCCTCTGCCGGACGCCAGCTTCAGGTCTGGTGTGGCCAGCTGCTGGCTTGTGGGCAGTGGCATCACCTGGCTGTAGTTGTCACCAAGGAAATGAAAAGGAATTGCACCGTTTCCACCTACCTGGATGGACAGGCCATTGGCTCAGCCAAGGTGAGATGGTCCCCAGCTGCGCTCGCCCCACCCCTGTCTCCTGGCCGCACCACCCTGGGTGGCCTCGTCCAGGTCTGTGCTTTCTCTTGGCAGCGGGGTTGGCATCCAGTGAGGCCCCCTCGCTGTCCCGAACACTTGACTGAACTCGGGCATAAAAGGGCATCTTTACAAAATGTGATAAAGGTCACACAGCCAACGCAGAAGGTGAAACGTGGAGATGAGAGTAGTGGTGACTGTTGTGACCGGAAGAACAGGCATAAGAAAACATGCTCTAGAGCGAAAAGTCAAGATTGTTTACATCCCCTGTGAGTTCCCAGGGAGGTCTGAGCAGGGCCAGAGGCCAACTCTGTAAGAGGCATCCGGTGAGTCGTGCCCTGGCCTGGACTGCGGCCACGCTGAGGGCAAGGCGCCCGAGCTGTGAGGACACTGACATGTCCCGCCAGGTTCAGAGCAGGAGTGGCAGGACAGGACGAGTCCCCATGTAGGGAAGGCACAGAGGTGAACACATCTGGAGGAAGTGCCTCATCACAGGCATTTAGTCGCCGCGGTCCTGAGGCTTAAGGGCGAGGAGCCAGGAGCGGAGGAACCTGACCATCGTGCTCCAGCCGCCAGTCAGCGGTCCCAGGGAAGCCAGGCAGCGAAGGGTGTCTTCACCGGCCGGCCGCACTTCCCATGCACAGGGACCGCCCGGACGGCCGCGTCCCAGGTCAGTCACTGCAGACCCTCCGTGGGAGGCAGCTTGGCAGTGTTTCCAAAGTCTCCCGGGTGAGCGGATACTCAGCCAGGATGGAGAGCCTTAGGTTAATAGGGTTTCTCAATGTCAACAGCATTGCCATTTTGGTAATTTTTGTTGTGGGGTCTATTCTATGTATATTAGGACACTGAGCAGTCTGTGGTCCCCGAGATGCCGTAGCATGCCCTGTCCCCACTTGTGACCACCAAAATGTCCCCACATTTCCAGACCTCTGCTGGCGCGGGGCAAAACAGCCCAGGTTGACACTCATTAGGTTAGAACAACCTAAATTCTATAGACACCTCCAGGTAAACGTGATGCCGTCCTCTGGTAAGAGTATCTTACAAAAATAAAATGTACCCGTCATCAGAAAGATGCGGCGAGAGAATGAGAAGAACAGGTTCTCCAAAACAGAAAATTAGCTTTTCCCCCCAATCATTATCAATCCTAGACCTCCCTCCCTCCTTCCCTCCCTCTCTCCCTCCCTCCCCTTCCTCCCTTCCTTCCTCATTACATATTTATTTATTTATTTAGCCCTACTATGTGTTACATACTGTGTTAGGTGCTGGGAATTGACCATGTCCAGTCAAATTCCTCCAGGAGTGTGTGTATCTAGAATATAATCGTTTAGGGTTAGATTTTCCACTCACAGGATTCTCGGGAAATTCACCCAAGTTGTTGCACGTGTCAATAGTTCATTCCTTTTTACTGCTGAGTAGTGTTCCGTGGAATGGATACGTAACCACGGAAGACCATCTGGATTATTTCCAGGGCTTGGCTATTAAAAATAAAGCCACGATGAACATTTGTGAACAGTTTTTTGTGTGAACTTGTCTTAATTTCTCTGAAGTAAATACCCAACTGTCCAGCTGCTGGGTCCTGTGGCAATTACAGGTTTACTTCGATAAGAAACTGCCAAACTATTTCCCAGAGCGGCTGTCCCCCATCTCACATTCCCACCAGCAAGAATGACTCAGGTTCTCTGCATTCGGTGTTGTCACTATTTTGTAATTAGCCTGATAAGTGTGTAGTGGTGCGTTTTTCAATTAAAGATTATATTCAACCTTTTAAAAAACATATTTTTATTGATTTATTTTGGAGAGAGAGGATGGGAAAGGGAGAGAGAGATAGAAACATTGATGAAGAGAGAAGCTCTATCAGCTGCCTCCCATATGCTCTTCCCTGGGGATTGAGCCCACAGCCCAGGCATGTGCCCTTGATCTGGAATCGAATCGGTGACCTCTTGGTGCATGGATGATGTTCAACCACTGAGCAACACTGGCCAGGCATCATTCAATATTATTATGGATTAGTTTCAAGGGTATAGCACAGTGGTTAGGCAATCATATACTTTACAACGTTTCCCCCCTGATATTTTCAGTACCCAACTAGCACCATACATAGTTATTACAATATTGTTGACTATGTTTCTTATATTGTCCTTTATATCCCAGGACTATTCTGTAACTACCAATTTGTACTTGTCAGTCCCTTTTCCTTTTCACCTCGTTCCCCAACCCTCCAACCCCCTGAACACCATCAGTCTGTTCTCTGTATCTATGAGTCTATTTCCGTTTTGTTTGTTTAGGTATATTTTCTTTAGATTCCATATATAAGTGAAATCAAATGTTATTTGTCTTTCTCTGACTGACTTATTTCACTTAGCATGAGGCCCTCTAGGTTCATCCATGCTGTCACAAATGGTAAGATTTCCTTCTTTTTTATGGCCAAAGTATTACATTGTGAAAATGTACCACAGCTTTTTCAGTCACTCATCTATTGATGGACAAGTGGGTTGCTTCCATAGCTTGGCTATTGTAAATAATGCTGCAATGGACATATATTCTTTCAAATTAGTGTTTTTAGTTTCTTTGGATATATAACCAGAAGTGGAATTTCTGGGCCATAAGGCAGTTACATTTTTAATTTTTTGAGACACCTCCATATAGTTTTCCATAGTGTCTGCACCAATCTGAATTTCCAGAAATAATGCAAAGGGTTTCCTTTTCTCCACATCCTCACCAACATTTGTTTTTTGTTGATTTATTGATAATAGCCATTCTGGCAGGTGTGAGGTGATATCTCATTGTGGTTTTAATTTGTATTTCTGTGATGGTTAGTGACATTGAGCATCTTTTCATGTCCATTGGCCATCTGTATGTCCTCTTTAGAGAAGTGTTTATGCAAGTCCTCTCCCCATTTTTTGATTGGATTGTTTGTTTTTGGTGTTGAGTTGTATGAGTTCTTTATAAATTTTGGATATTAACCATTTATCAGATGTAGCATTGACAAATATATTCTCCCATTCAGTGGGTTGTCTCTTTGTTTTGTTGATGGTTTCCTTTCCTATACAAAAACTTTTTAGTTTGATGTGATCCCATTTATTTATTTTTTCTTTTGTTTCCCTTGCTTGAGGAGGAATATCAGAAAAAAATATTATTAAGAGAGATGTCCAAGATTTTACTGCTATATTTTTTCCTAGGATTTTTATGGTATCGAATCTTAAATTTAAATCTTTAATCTATTTTGAGCTACTTCTTGTACATAATATAAGAAGGGTGTCTAGTTTCATTTTTTTGCCATTATCTGTCCAATTTTCTCAACACCACTTATTGAATAGACTGTCTTTATCCCATTGTATGTTCTTGCCTCCTTTATCAAATTTTAATTGACCATATAGGTGTGGGTTTTTTCTGGGATCTCTATTCTGTTCCATTCATCTCTATGTCTGTTTTTATGCCAGTGCCATGCTGTTTTGATTAACGTAGACTTGTAATATAGTTTGATATCAGGTAGTATGATCCCTTCAACTTTGTTCTTCTTTCTCAAGATGGCTGTGATTGTTCAGGGTCTTTTGTGGTTCCAGATATATTTTTGAATTATTTGTTATAGTTCTGTGAAGTATTTCATTGGTATTTTGGTAGAAATTACATTGAATCTATAGGTTGATTAGGGTAGTATGGACATCTTAACAATGTTAATTCTTTCTGGTATGTTTTTAATTTGCATTTACTTGATGGCTAATGACATTGAACATTTTCTCATGTGCTTCTTTGCCATCTGTATATACTCTTCAGTGATGTCTGTTCATGTCTTTTGCTCATTTTCTAATTGCATTGTGTGATTTTACTGTTGAGTTTTAAGGGTTTTTCCATATATTTTAGATACTAGTACTCTGTCAAGTATTTAATTTTCAAATACTTTTTCCTGATTTATAGCTTATTTTTATCTTCTTTCACATGGATTTTTCAGAGCCAATATCTTATTTAATAAAGTGCAATTTATCAGTTTTCTCTTATAGTTCTTGCTTTTGGTGTCAAGTTGAAGAACTTTTTGCCTGAGTATTTTCCCCTATGCTTTTAAAAAGTGTTTTCTAGTTTAAAACTTTATATTTTAGTTTGTGATAAATTTTGAGCTGATTTCTGTGTAAGGCATGAAGTCTAGGTTGCTGTTTATTTCTCCACCTATGAATGTCCAGTTTTTCAGCACTGATTGTTGAAGATGCCACTGTTGCACCATTGAAATGCTTTTGAACCTTTGTTAAAAAGCAGTTGGGCATATTCATATGGGTTTATTTCTGGATCTTCTATTTTATTCCATTGTTTACATGGCTATCCCCCTACCAATACCATACTGTCTTAATTATCTATACTAATAAAAGGGTAATATGCTAATTAGACATCTTCTGGACATCCTTTCGGACAAAGCTATGGTGGCAGGGGCCGAGGCAGAGGGGCGATCAGGCTGGCAGGAGAGGGCAGGTGGGGGCGATCAGGCCAGCAGGCATAGGCGGTTAGGGGTGATTGGCCAGCAGGCAGAGGTGGTTAGGGGCGATCAAGCAGGCAGGCAGGTGAGTGGTTAGAAGCCAGGGTCCCAGATTGCGAGAGTGATGTCCAACTGCTGAGGGACCCCTCCCGTGTATGAATTTCGTGCACTGGGCCTCTAGTGTGGCTATATAATAAACCTTAATATTGGGTGGAGTGGTACCCAATATTTCAAAATAGAAGAATTAATCTACTTATTAAGCTATTTGTTTAAGCCTAGAGCCAGTGTCTTTTTATATAAATTTTAGAATTGGCTTGTCTGTCTACAAAAAGCCTTCTGAGGTTTTGAAAGGGTTGCATTAAACCTATCTATCATTTTGGGGAGAAATTACATCTTCACTATGTTGAGTCTTCCTCTCCAGGAGCACAGTCTGTCCCTTCCTTTACATGGGTCTCCTCTGCTTCACGTATCATCCTTTCAGACTTTTCAGTATGCAGATCTTGCACGGGTTTTATTAAGGGCTTCATTTCCTTTTGAGCAGTTGTAAATGGTATTGATCTTGATTTTAGCGTCTGCATGTTCATTGTTAGACTTAGAATGCAGTGACTTTTGTGTGTTGATCATGTATCCATCCTGGGACCTTGCTGAGCTCACTGGTTAGTTCTAGGAGTTTGGGGTGGTTGTTTAAATTGTAGATTCCTTGGGATTTTCTACATGGACATATCCTTTGCAAATAGAGGTAATTTTCTTTCTTTCCATTCTGTATATCTGTAATTATTTTCAGTACATAAGTTAACGTGTCAATATTGGACATGTGGGTCCTTAGCTGGATGACTGGGACACACAAATGGACATTTCAGGGCTCTCACTATTCCTCAGTTTGTTTCCTAAGGCGCAGTGTCACCCACTCTCACTAGCATTTCATAAACTGTTTTGCTACCCTGTTTCTCAGCTTTGAGAGTTACCGTTGTAATGTTTTGTTTTTTTTTTGTTTTTTGTTTTTAAATATATTTTATTGATTTCTTTGTAATGTTTTGTTTTTTTTGTTTTGTTTTTTTAAAATATATTTTATTGATTTTTTTACAGAGAGGAAGGGAGAGAGATAGAGAGTTAGAAACATCGATGAGAGAGAAACATCGATCAGCTGCCTCCTGCACATCTCCCACTGGGGATGTGCCCGCAACCAAGGTACATGCCCTTGACCGGAATCGAACCTGGGGCCTTTCAGTCCGCAGGCCGACGCTCTATCCACTGAGCCAAACCGGTTCCGGCCTTTGTAATGTTTTTAGGTAAAATGAATTTTCACCTTGAGAGAAGAATGATGTACATCATTTTATGTCCACAGGTATTTATTTGATTAATCCCAAAGTTAACCACCTCCCACCCTTTTCCTGTTAACAGATGTTATACATTCAGGCCTTGCCAGGACCTTTCCTTTCGATGGAGCCATCATCGTTTGTGGATGTTTACGGCTATATCGCTACCCCTCGGGTTTGGAAACAAAGGTCGACATTAACATGGCGTCTGGGCCCCACATACCTCTTTGAAGAAGCCGTCTCAATGGAAACTCTGGAAGTTATTAACAAACTCGGCCCGAGATACTGCGGAAACTTCCAAGCTGTGCCTGCCCAAGGTGGAGTGTTCTGATTGATAATGATCTTGCTGATTTTATTTTAAAACCAGACATCCATTCATTTATAGCATATTTATAAAGAGTAACCTCAGCACTGGCCGGTCAGTCGGGAAGACCTGTGTAATTGGATCATTGTATGTTCACAAGCAACAGAAAATGTCCCAGGAAAGGAAATGACAACATCCTTCATATTTCTGCTCCAAAGCTCATGATAGAAGAGAGTGGTGGGTCATACCATCAGCAAAGAGGAGAAGAGAGTGAGATGAATAAGATACATTCCTTTTAATGAAGGAGCTTTTTAACTAAAGTACACTGTTGTTTTCAATTATTAAACAGGCAGACAAAACATCCACATTTTCGTTATTGATTGTCGGCTGTTGAAGCTGGAGCATAGCTCTCCGCGCTCCGCCGAGTTAAGGGGTCAGCTCCCAGCTGGGAAGGGCGCTAAGTGCCTCTCAGTCCACATGTGATGGCGAAGCGGCCGGGAGCTGTTGAGCACCGCTCTCTCTAGGCCCCGCGCCTCCTTCCGCCTTCCTGTCCTCTGGCTAAGCGCTGGCCAGCACTGCGACCGGTCAGGTGTCCAGCCACACCTGCTTCTCCAGTCGCACACGGGGCTCTCCTTGACCCAGAGTCCTGGCACACGGGGCGCTGCCCAGGGACATGCCGCTCACTGGAGCGCCTCGGGCTGTCAGCCCAGCCTGTGTCTCTTCCTTATAAGTCGATTTCTTATCTTTATCATTCTGGTTTGGGGAGCAGGGTTGCGCCCTTGATAGGTGTTGCAAACGTAGCAATTTCACACCTGGAAGGCCTCTGTATCATAGTAGGGTTACCATTGTGAGATTTATCCACGATTTTGTATGTGTCAGAGAAGCTCAGGGAGGGGCAAAATATGAGACATGTGAACACAGCATGCAAGCATACAAAGTTACAACATGTGACAACATGCCAACATGCAATGTAAGAAGAAACGAACATTCTTTCGATGGTTACTTCGCCAGTAGCGGTAGATCTTTACGCTCTGAGGACTAATTTTCTTCTCTGTGCAATGAGACTAGAAGTGACTGGAGACGTGTTCCTTCAGGAGCAGACCCTGGTGCAGACACAGCGCCCCTGGTGGCCGAGGAGAGGGTGTCCATGGGCCTCCACGTGGCCAGCTCGTCCACCACCAGAGTCTCGGACATCAGAAGCACGTACAACGAGGTGGACAGCCGCCTGATTGCCAAGGAGGTACGCCTGCTCACGTCACTTGCTGCCCTTTCGGAATCATGATCTCAGGGCTGCCTTCAGCTTTTAATGCTGGAGTGAGTGCTGCTGGGTGTTTGCGCATGTGCAGACGGGGACATGAGGAGTGCTTCCCACTTCATTTGCTAACATAGTCGATGACTCCCCACCCATGAACTCCCACAAGACTAAACCTTTGATCTGTAATTGCTCAGAGGAGAACGTAGGTGCTCTCATTCCTCACAGCAGAGCAAGAACAAACAGAATATTTAAACCCTTTGCGGCACTGAGCACCCATTTTCCGCGTGAAGAGCTCTGTGCTCACTGCTCATGACTTGGCTGATGTGCTCAGTCTCCCACCGTCACAGGCAGAGGCCCTGCCTTTGCTGGTGAGCAGGCTCAGGGTGGACCCTGTTGGGCACGAGGAAGTGCCTCACCAGCAGCGTCCTTCCGACGGGGGAGGCCAGGGGCCCACTTCCCGGGCTCTGCGGGCAGTGAGGCCGGGTTGCAGAGATGGAGAGCCGGCGGGACGCAGCCACGCTGGCCTCTGCAGCACGCTCCGCCTGCAGGCGTGCCCGGCCCTTCCCGCCCCGTCGGCTCCTCACGGAGCAGGTGGGACATGCGTGGCACAACTGTACAACCAAAGCTGACCCCTCAATTAAGCTGCAGCTGGGAGGCAGGACAGGAGAGCCAGGCCTTGGGTTCCAGGCCTCCGACGTGGATGGGCCCGTGTGCATTTCCCGAGAGCCAGGCGCTAGCGCCGGGCCGGACTCGGAGCCCGCCCTCCCGGAGCTTGTGACAAGGCCCCTTCCTTCCCGGGAAAGGGAGGGTGAGGAGCTCCCCGCTTTCCACTCTCTCTAGATGAACATTTCATCCCGCGACAACGCCATGCCCGTGTTCTTGCTGAGAAACTGTGCTGGCCACCTCCCAGGCCCTCTTCGGACCATCGGAGCCGTGGCTGTGGGCCACCTGGGTACGTCAGCCTCAGCCTCTGCGCTGTTTGGGAAGAAGGGCTGGTGCCTGCCAGCGCCTGTGCAGCCTGGAGTCCTGAGCGGCAGTGAGGACACAGCGGGTGGAGCCAGGGCGGTGCCAGCACAGGGGGGAGGAGCTGGGGGCTTAACCCTGCCAGGGAGCTGGCCTCCACACTGAGTGAGGTCAGCTCACCTCACTGCATCTAATTGGTAGTAAACGCAGCTGCTCTCCAGGCCGGCATCTGTGCACAATGGAGCCCATGTAGTGGGCACAGTGGGCCTCTGTGCCAGCAACTGTCAAAGCAATGAGTTGGTGCAAGCACCCAGGGCCGCAGGATGTAGGGGCAGAGGTGTCAGAGGAGCCAGCAGACTCAGGTGGCACCGAAGGCATCTGGCTCCTCCTGCACTCCAGACAGCGATGGAGGGCAGCGATCTGAAGGACTCAGCATAGATTCTCCCAGTGACTTAAGACTTTCTAAGCCCCTGACCCTCCTCCCCCGTCTCCCTGTGCACAGGCCCCTCCTCCCC